GGAGTAGAAGCGCCGCGATACGCAGAAATGATGCATAAATCGAGGCACCTGAAGTTGTGGATGAGGCATATCAAAAAGGAACAACAAATTTTCACCTCTTCCTCCTCTCAGTGGAGCCTCGGGCGTGGTATCAGTAGCGGTGGCGTTTATGGAAATGAGAAATGGACGTTTAGCATTACCTGGTTGTCTTCAATGAAATTCCACTTTGGATATATGCAGCATAACCATTTCTCTTGCATTAGACGCACAATTCAATCTTTCGTGTGCTGATTTAGGTAAGCAGGTTTGCTTCAAGTTTGCCTCATTCCGTAGCACTTACACGCCCGCAGTCGTGCCATCCACCTCTGATGCGCTTCAGAGCAACGATGTCACCTGCAGTTAACGGCAAGTCACTGCAGTGTGGCACTTTGTTAACCCATTAAGAGAAAATTTTCGCCATTCCCTGCCGTTCGCGTTGCATTGTCCAAGGTTAGGTCGACTTGGCTTTACAAGGGAAATTGAACATTTGCAGACAGCCTCGAAGGCACTTTCTTTTGTACAGAGAAAGGAAAGAGCGCGTCGGTTCCTTTGCTGAAGGGCATGAATCGTGACCACAAGCGCATGCCTTCTTCTCGCATTCTCTGATCCGCCCCAATTCTTAGATTCGGAGTTGCACAATCTGTCCGTAAGAATAAACTTGATGCCGTCATGTGACAGGAGGATCAGAGGACGCGCGTAGACCGCTTCTTAAAGTAGAAATCAGAGGAAGGCTTTTAAAGTGTAACGGTGTTGGAGGTAAAGAGAGCGTCCAACGCTTGTCTCTCGGAAGGTATTTTCACACATCCCTTACTGATATTGCAACCCACATTTCTGTTTGGCGGCCTCCAACGCCGCGTGGATTTGTGGTGATGAGGTCGTGCAATCGAATCATTTGTGCATTCATTCTGGACAGCCATTCGCATCCAATGGGCCAAAATGACTCGCCCCTCATGTCTTTCTGTCATACCATGTCAGATTCTAATACCGTAGATTTGGCAAATTTGTCAAGAAGAAATGAAGAAGTCGTAAGCTTGCATGGCATGACGTACCATATTGTGATAATGCACAAACATCAGACGGACAAGTGTGCATTTAGTCATCAGCCCCTTTCGGCCATTGCATAAGTCCAAACATAACCATAATCACAGTCTGCAAAGCCAACCATGGAAAGGGTATTTCAAAGTTGTATGAGATCGCAATTCGTCCCTTCTGACTAAAATTTTCCACCACAACTACAGCCTGTAAACACTGCAATCAATGCAAGCCAATCTCTTCACTAAAAATACGAGGTTTAAACAGGCGGGGTGATTGTGGTCTCATCTGCCTCACCCACTTACCCAAATGCTCGACGTCAACGAAGGTAGGGGGGTGCACTGAGGGCGGAGCCGAGAACGATGCTCAAAAGAAGAGAGGAGCAATGTAATGCCTTGCCAAAGAGGGTATGCAGTAGGAAGTGATGCCGACCGAGCAGAACACTTGCAACAATTCTCGGGACAGGCATCATATTTATCATTTGCGACTGCATTTGCAAAGCAGTAAAAGAAGAAAGTTACGAAAAAGGTACACACAAATAAGACGCACATGCCCTGCACAGGAAGAAGGAACCACTTCGAGCCATTTGCTCAAAAGTATATTATATCGAAAGGGAATCCCTCCACTCGCACGTCACTTTCATGCTTCGATGTCACTTTAAATGATCTACCCAAAAGGCATTAAGACAAACTCGGTGAAGCCAAATGATAAAGTGGGAAGAGATCCCAAAAGAGCACTGCTATTCGGTCAGGACAATTTAATTTGCAAGTGCATACATCAAGAATGGAAGGAACACTTAACTACATTGTAAAAATTGGCGTTAAGATATACGAGAATTTATAGGAACTGAGGGGACGTGATATCACTACGTACGACTGCGGTACTGGTAGCGGGATGGACTGCCACGAAACAGGAGTTTCATGCACCATGTTAGACAAACTTCGAGGCGCGTTTATGTGCTTTGGTCATTAAGGTGAAATGCCACTGACAACAGCTAGCTGGCGTGCAATAAGACGGAGTGGAGTCAAGTGTGCCATAAGACAGCTGCAAAACGACTACAGTTGGAGTTGATGCTTCTCTCAATCAATGTTTACTCGGCTCACCTTCTTCACCTTAGCAAGCTGTGTATCAAACGCCAGCTCTATGCTCCTTTCCTTTCCCCTCACCTTACTGGCACATCACCTCACTTCGCGTCTCCGCCAAGAGCAGCTTTAACACCCATCCTGACTCGGTACACAAACTGAACCTCCCTCAAGCCTCATATCCATTCCAACTGGTGCTAATGCAGCAACCTCCTCAACACACTGCCGCAAAACCTCACCCACATCCACTTCTGATTCTCGACGCATCACCGCGACCTCCAACACCACACTGGCACCTCAACAGTGCAAATGCCAACCAGCCAAAACGAAAAGCCATAGCAGAAACGCATACATCTTTTGCCACATCAAGCATCAATGGATGCGTCAACAGTAGCCCTCAACGATGCCCTAGCATGCTTTCACTTACACACTCACTGACCGTAGTTGTGTGCGATGTTACGGCGAGCTGCAGCAAGGCCATTCACCACCACTGACGACAGCGACAACCGCATTCCTACACCACACCCCTCCACACAACCAAACCACATACTTGGAGTTGGCGTACTTGGTCACAACCTTGGTAACCATCTGACACCGCGTGCTTCACCAACTCACCAGGCAGCAGTAGCAGCAGACGCACAGCAGTCAGTATTCCTAAACTCTTGACTTTCGATCTCTTGTTATAATGCGCCAACCGACCCGACTCGGCTGCGATCCGCTCGATGTCGTTAACGATGATGTTCATGATCGATATCGCGTTGTCCGTCTTCCGCATTCTTAGTTTTGTCGTCTTAGCACCTAGCCTGGCACCATGTTCGGAGCCACAACAATCACTATGCGCTATGCACCATGCACTACGCCTCGCTACCTTTGAGCTACGCTGCTGACGCTATCCTTGGTGCACCTCCCGAGTCAGTCACCACAACATGTCCGGCGTCACAAGAAAACTGCTAGGAGCCAGTCGCGCTAGTCATCAGAGGAACAGTACTTGGCGACCTCTGTAGCTTCAACTGCATCTGCAGTTGCATCCGATTTTAGGGCAGGAATCGTGGCGAAGAATTTTAGTTGACCAGACGCTGGAGCATTGGTCTAGAACAGATGTTTAAAGGGAAGGCGTGATATAACGCAGGGCCGGTATGGAAAGATTTCTGCCGTACTATTATCTCCACCATCTGTGCTTAAACGCGATATAAAATACTCGGTTGTTAATAGCTTCTCTGTGTATCACGGAGGCAAGTTTGAGCCCATTCGTCTCTCGTCTGATGTAAATGATCTTCCTCTGCACCATAAAGCATACCACAAGCAGTGTACCAAGGTAAAGGTAGTTGTAAAATTCGGATTCGCTTTCCTTTAACACCAGTATTGCGTGTCGAGGCTTCTCCTAAATGGCAGAATGCTCCTTCTACTCTTGCTCCTGCCATGATGTCACAATGGGTACAATGAGATGGAGAGTTGATCGGCAAAAGAGAACAATTTGTTATTTCTGTCCTCCGTTGCACTCTTGACTATGCGACATTGGTTCCCTCCGTGAACTTAAGCTGAGCATATCAGCAAGCAACAGTAGCAGTCTGCTGAAATGAGACAAGAACAGGAGAAGAGAGAAGGCGGGAGGGGAAAATTGAGAGACGGGGTAAGGAAGAAGGAAAGGGAAATAAGGCTTTTGTTTTGCGTCAAATTACTGCAGAAACATTATGGTAATACTCGAACTCCCTGAAAACAATATCCTTCCACGACGACGCCTTGAAGCAGGGGGATGGAGAATCATTCCAATGTCTTTTGTGCAAAGCAATCGACTTCAGGCGGATCTCAAAACGATAAAGCAAAGCAGACGATTTCCTTGACATTTACCTATATCCCCATGCTAACAGAACAGAACAGTACTGACAATAAAGTGAACTGGTCATTGGCAGCGGAGGCATGCTCACCTTTTCAAAGTAGCGTCTTTTCCATTTAACATTTAAAATCAACATTATTCACGCATTCCCCCACATAGATATTCAAAACTACAAATCAACATGCACAAATCATCATCCTTATTCAGTAAAACACATCAGGCGTTGGGGAGTTGTTAGAGGATTGTGTAACAGTCAATCACAGTCTGCTTAACAAAGACGAAACTTGAGGTTTTACCCGCTTCTCAGCCGGCATCATGAGCATTGAGCTCCGACAACGCAATATGCCATGCCGAATTGAATCCAACAAGTGTAAATGACTCCAGTGTGTCCAAATTGGCCTCTGATATCGAAGGACAAAATTAAAGCCCGTACTAAAGTCCAAGTTGTTCCGTTCAATTTTGAGGAGAAAAGTCGAGCATTTAGCAAATGGTGGAGTGATAGAGTGGCTGAGGCACACATGTTATAGCAGATTGCTGAGTCCGATCTGACCTGGTCAATCCTCTGCCACTTTGGCCTGCTTTATCAACGCCCAAGAGTTGTACGGGGTGCCGCGATTGGAAATGCGTATGGCGCATTTTCGTTGCGTGACAATGGGGGTTTGCTCGTAAACTTCCATTGAACTCACGCCTTCTAATTCACTAAAAATTATATGAGGAAGGGACCGACGCATGAACTAAGAGACGCCTTTAAACGCTCTAAGCAGCTTTGCAGACCATTTCATAAAGACATCGTTTTGGACATCGGCATCTATGACAACTGTCAAGCCACGGATACTGAAGTGGTAGCTTCGTCTTCTACTCTCGTTGGTAAATCCTTTGTCAGCGGCGAGCAATCCAACAAAACTCCAAACATCGAGGTTACTGTATTCGTCAATCCACGTGGATGTTGCAGGGCGATAACGGTGGCTGTATTTGCACACCTAGCGATGGTTCAAATGGTCTACGGAGGAGGCGTAATGCTATAAAAGGTGATATGACGCCTTTGAAAACATCCAAGTAATCACGGAAATGTGAGGAAACTTTAAAACAAGGCTATTCGGTCAGCACTCTTCGCCCCTGTGTTGAAAACTGTAGAACAGCTGAAAAATTTAGCACCGGCACAGATGTCAAGACTTCATGCACTTCTCCACATATCACGTACACTCTCATTACGAGGAGGTTGCAGAAGGGGAGAGTAGCAGAACAACTTGGCCACACTCTGCATATCCGCCTTTAAGAATGCCAAAATTCAGACGCGGTGGATAGATAAATGACCTCATGAGGGAAATGCAAGCTCGTCCAATCACTACTCAACCTATCCAACAGAAGATTAAACAAAGTGATTTGGCGAATGGTGGCCAAAATCCAAAGCATTTGCCCATCCAGGAAACTGGTTGTCAAGTCTAAGTTGGAGGCGATCCCATCCAACTAGGCCGACCTCCACGGTCAATGAATCTTAAACGTACGTGTGCCCTTGCCGGTCACTCTTCCCGCTGTCATTAAACAGCATAGAGAGCAAGTAGACTTTCAGCTGCGCTTCATGTTCTGGCCGTTGGGTAGTATAATCCACCTTTATGGTGGTCTTTGTGTACATACAGAACAGTCAATCAGCGATGCAGATTGAATGAAAAGAGAAACGACTATAGTTGCGTATGTATTCCCCAAATGTCATAGCTGCATACTAGTTATCGTTTGATTACCGACATCTCTTAAAACGAAGTGCGACCAGCAGTGTGACTTACTGCAAAAGACTGTGCGAAGAGGGTTACACCGCTCAGTTTATGTTATTAACGTTACCGATGTGAGAATGTTCGGTTCGCGGTACATACCAGCTAGAGAACCCCTAATGAGGCGATGCAGTTGTGCACCACTGCATTGAAAAGACGTTTCAAGCTCCCCTATTACATTTTGCTACAAATAAGTGTTGCACTACTTGGCACTCATTCCTTGCCTTCCCTCCCCTATTCGCAAAGGATGCTTGGAAATAACATCTACAAATAATATATGTCGCCATAGCCACAGCACGGGTTTGAATGCATAGTGAAGAGGACTAGTGGACTAAAATTAAATGGGCTCAAGTGTACTTTGACGAGACGCAATGACCGCATTTTCCTTCAGATTGGACGTCGACCTGGTAACTCCTTTTGGTGAGCCGCATGCGGCCGATCCCCTACCTTCATTCCCGTTGTGCTCATCAGTTGGACATTAAGGAAATTCAAAAGGTTTGGTCCTCCTTCCGTGAACGATTTGAATGTCCTGCAGGGATTGGCATCTTTAGCAAGCAAGGGAGGAGGACAGTGGTTAATGTCATGGTTCTGACCATTTGTAAACCCCGTACCACGTCCAAATTGAAGCAAGTATGACAGTTTTGTGATTACTCTTAAAATTTATTAAGCATGCAGAGTTACGTTATCGTTACGTAGACGTGATTGAATTGCGAATGGTGCAAATTCTGCATCAAGGCAGCCTGTAGAAGAATAACGTTGACTTGATAACTGCAAGCTACGAACCGTGGTTATCTCCACAGCTAAATTCTTGTAATTCTGCACTAACTTACCATACTTTGGATGTAGTCGTGGTGGGCGTTGCAGTTCCTCACTTCGGTCCTATACAAAGTGGATGCACCTCTAAACGCAAAGTTAAATGCATGTAAACATCAACCATGAATGAACAGCCCAGTCGCAGTTGTGCTGTTGTCACTAGCTTTCGCCTTTTGATTCAGAAAGCGTTAAAAAAAGGAGGTGCTGTGGATTTGTGTATTGAACGCAAGCGCTTGCATAAACCTACCGTTGGACGGTGTTGTAATCACCTCCGTCGAACTGAAAACAATGCCTGCAACTTTCCGTCCCTCTGCAGTCACGATGTAGGTCGTGTCAGGTTTTAAGCCCTCAAGAATGAGGCTCCCTTTTACGAAAAGCGTGGAGTTTAGCACGATGTTAAGAGTGGGAATTTCCTCTGCGGTCAGTCGCATCCAGTCTGCATACTGCACGCCTAGTCTTTCAACATCCCAACTGAGCACAATGCGATGTGGTCCCACGTAGCTCCAAGTGAAGAATGGTGGCAGCAACGGGATGCCCTCAGCACACCTCTGCTTTGTAGGTGGCACTACAACAGACATGAGTGGGCATTGCTGATGCTCGCAAGCATTCGCTTTCAATTAGTTTCAAATGTTCGGTTTGTGTCGGTAACCTGACGGTGGGAGGGAGGGAGGGAGGGAAGGACGTCATCCGTTCTAACTATGCATCAGCTTTGCACATTGGCAAACATTGCTTTGGAAACGTCGCGTTTGCGCCTCTTCGTGGAGACGTGAGATTCATTCTATCACCTTCTTTTGTAACTGCCTCAAATGATTCAGTATGGAGGTTGACATCTGTTGCTCATCTATCCGTAGATAACCGCTTTCATTGATTGGGTTTAAGGAAGTTGTTTATTGTGAGGCCAGGACTGATTTAGACTCTGAGCCCTTCTGATTCTGCTTCCAGGTGCACAATAGCTACTGCAATAAATGCTATTGCGGGCGAATGTCAGTCTTAGTTCGAGGCGGCATCATTGCCTTCTTCTCGCCATCCTTCGAGACCGACGAACGTAATGAATGTCGTTGAGTGCAGAAAAGTTGGCGTCGAATTCAACGGCTTACGTACAGGTGAACTTAACAGTCACGATGTGTACCACTTGGCTCTCTACACAGCGAAGTCATATACATGATGCTTCCTTTTTATGACAAACCGTAAGTTACCTTGAGGGTGCAGAAGTCAGCATCTTCTTTCCTTTCTCTTTTACACCACGCATTCCGTGCAAGTGGACACAACGACGCGCCATCAACAAGGTCAAGTTCTGTCTACCATGTGTGCTACGAACTCAGTACTTAAGCAGTGAGACAGTCCGCAAACCAAAGAGACAACGGTCAATTACGCATGCATGAGAGTGTGCATCGCTTGACAGCACTTTGAAGGAAGATGAGTAGTCGGTTGGAAAAAGCAAGAGGGGCATATGCATGCGAGGTACGGCGCCAAGGCGTGTAATCAGTGCCGACGATTCGGTGTTACGGGTAAGGAAACACTGTCGCCCTTCAATCACCAGTTCCAACTCTGCGCTCTCTGGGTTCGCTCTCCAGCCCATTTAAGTTGTCTTGGCACCACAGAAGTGAGCAAACACCCACCTTGTTGTCTCAAACTGTGTATAAAAATGTCAAGCGAGTTTGGTTAATGTAAAGAGTCATTTATACCTCCCAAGTCTTAACTCGCACATGGACGTGGGAGCTAAATAGTAAAAGTCAACATACCGCCAGGCACACTGTCGCCCGCCACCCAGACGATTGGCACTAATAAGATGAAGTTAAATCTCAGCTCCACCTTTTGCATCGTAAGTACTTTGCACTAGCACAACCCATACCAACGTTGTATAGGCGACACAAAATCCTGTCGCCCTATCAAGGACGTTTGTCAGCCCCTACAAATCGACTTGTGCTGACGTTGTTGTGCGCACCTCTATTAATGGATCAGGCGAGATATTTCGCCTCCAGACTTCACGCTCGTGATATTCTCAGTTAAAATGGAATAATTATGGTGAAAAGCAATTTACATTGACGCCATGAAATTAATTATTATTATTAATTAAGTGTTGCATGCTTTGGCTATGACATCCTTAAGCGCTAGCACATTGCTGAAAACCCATTTCGCTGTCATGGCAATCGGCCTCATCGACATCTGCTGAGTTGATTACTAGCATTTGGTACAATTGGGGCAAGAAAGGCTCAGAGGAACTCGTTGTGTCTAAGTAAAACTAGCAGTTTAACTCCGATGAAAATTTGTGCGCAGCTACCTCAACCTGGACATACATAGATTGACGGAGGAGTGGTAAATGGTTGTGCTTATGACGCTCCACTCTAGAGGCAACTTAAAGCCAAGTAGGTCATGCTTGGGTATTGGTGTGCACCGCATAACACCGTCTCAGCGGCCACTGTGTCTAAAAGGTGAAGTCGTGAGGTCACGACGACCTCCCACCCGATGCCATGCACAAAAAGACGCGTGCTTTGGTGTGCATCAGGCACTTGTGCTAACATTTCACAGTACACTAGACAGCCTTGAGTGGACAACAGCAATCGACTGTATTTTGGATCTCTGTTAACAACTCTGTTGACGTCTTGTAATCAAAGTCACACGGAGGGTGTTGCAGTGTGCCAGTATGGAGTGGAACGAAAAATTGCATCGGTTTGCCGCACAATGGTGTGAGAGTAAAGGTTGAAGGGATTGAAATGCACACCTATTTACTGTTGCCAGTACAGCACGTGGCAGAGGGAGATCGTTATTTTGCTTTGAATGCTACACTTCACTTGCAGCCTCTTTGAGGCCATTCGGTAAACAGATTTGCAGCATAAACATTCCGATGTCTAGCACATGATTCAAATAATTCCCTCAACCTTCTCACACAGCATTATCGCCTCATATTTCCACAAGTTTTATTGTTCTAGTTGCAGCTGTTTTGAAAATATGCATTACCCACAGCAAAATTAAAACTGAAACAAAGTTCCTCCATTTGCTCAGATCAGAGCACAACAGGTTTCGGTGCATTGTGGTTGTGCTAAGTCAGGAAAGTGTACATTTCATCGATCCGTCTTCGCCATGTTGATAATCTGA